GTGGCAGTGGGAAGAAGAGAAGTGTGAGTGGGTGGTAAGAGAGGTGGGGGAAACTGGTCTTTAATAACCGGGAGAATATTATAATTGAAGATAATTATAGAAATAACTTCATATTATATTATTATACTTTTATTATTACATTATTATTATAGTATTATTTTATTATTAGTAGTCGTAATAGTATTTTATTATTAAAATCCAAAGATATATAGATTAAATAAATGTTTTTTTTTTTTAAGAGCATGCAATAGGATGCACAGAAAGAAGCAGATTTGGAAAAAGACACTACAACACCACTATCAGTGAAATCTTTGTCATCAATTTATAAAACCAGTCACACCAACCAGTCTTGAAGAAGAAGAAAATCGAGGGATCTGTTGCTAAACAAAATGAACTTTTATCTCTAGCTTGCGATTATTTAACAAAATCATCAAAAGAAAATAAAAATGATTATTTGGATATTGGAAAAGTCTGGGCACAAAAATTGAAAAAACTTAAGTCTTATCAAAAAATTTTGGCAGAAAAGGCAATTATTGACATTTTATTTAAAGTTTCATTACAGTAACTATTTTTATTTTTAGATGTTTATACATATATACATACATTTCTATGTTTCTCATAAAATTCTTTGTCGACGTATACTTCAAGACAGATGATGCATTTGTATACAGTCATAATCGGATCTTTGAACATCTCTGGTGTTTCTGAAAGTATGTAAGGACATGATATAATGCAATTGCTTTTTTTATATATAAATAAATTTTTAACAAAATTACCCATAAATGATGTGTCAATTTAAGATCTGTTGAGAATATTGCGTTGCAATATTTGTAATACTTGGCTATTCTGGAACACTCATCTTCATTATGTTCATTCCAAGTCCAGTTATGTGTAAAAAATTTCCCACATTTATACATTATTACACATTACTTTAACTGTATTTTTTAATATATTGTGTCTTCCACGTTTATGCAGAAATAAATCATATCCATACGAATATTTTGTAAAGTATAATACATAATACAAATCATAATTTTTTCTCATGTATCTTATTATGTACATTAAAATATCGTTCGTTCGCGAAGTAGATTTTGCAAATTTCACAAAACAATAGTTCTCTTGGCTTTTTGAGCGTTTTAAATTGTATCAAAAATTTTTTACTATTTTTTATTTCATCTACATCTGAGTCGAATCTATTATTAATTTGCTTTATTAAGGCCTGTATCAGATTGTTTTCGCTTTCTTTTTCTACAGTATCGATTTCAGCATTATTGCTAAATTATTGTTTCGATATATTTTATAAAAGTGACATTTTGCTTTTCATAACTAATGTTATTAATAGTTTCTTACTCTGTTTTCCAATTATTTTGAATATTCTGCTCATCTGTAATCTCCTGTTCAATATTCTGATAATTCTGAACATTCTTCCTGATTGTATTGATCTCTTGTTCATTTTGATCATTTTGGATATTTGTCATATCTATAAAATCTATAAATTTTTTACAATTTTTTATTTCATTTATACCTACATCAGATCTATTACCAATTTGCTTTATTGAAGCCTATATCAGATTATTTTCGTTATTTGTTTCCATAATATCGATTTCAATATCTATCGCTAAATTAACTGGTGCTGTTTTTTGATACCTTTAATAAAATCTTGCTTTTCGTAACTAATCTTATTAATAGTCTTTTGATCTGTTTTCCAATTATTTTGGATACTCTTCTCATCTATAATCTCCTGTTTAATATTCTGATCATTCTGAATATTCGCAGCTATAATCTTCCTCTCATTAGTCTGATCATTCTCATCGATAATCTTCTGTTTGTTATTCTGATCAATAATATGTTTACTGCATATTGCAATATTACTGTTATGTCTTAATGTTTTGTGTGTTATTAGCTTATTAGATTGGTCAAAGCTGTCACAGAGTTTACTGTTCCATATGACTATCAAATGTATCTATATCTTGAAAGTTCAAGTCGCATAGATTCACATTCGATCGGGCCGACAATAGCTCGCTTTTTTAGTTCCTTTTTAATGACAATTGCTTGAATTTGATCCAGATATTTTAGGTTTTTCACAAGATGTTATGATGCTATGATCTTCACCTGTATAGCATCTTTCTGCTTTTGATTTTATTGAATTCGTAAAATCGCATCTACTGTTACATTAAGAATCAGTTTACTAATATTTAAATAATTTAAACAATGTCTAAATATTTCATTGGAATATTATCATTGGAAGGTAAATTGTTATTCGGCAAAATCTAAAAATAAGAAAAAAAACAATATTACTATTCGTACATTATGTATAATAAATACGTAAATTTAAAAGTTTAAAAAGCACAAAATATCACATTTTAACTTACAATGATAAACGTTTACTTATTTTTTCAGGAATGTAGTTATCTTTGTGTTCAAATATTGTAATATAATCTGAAGACTTTTCCTCACATAAACGGCATATTTCGAGTTTCTTGTGAAAAAGATTTACATTTTTATCGAAATAATCTATTTTTGTATCCATTTAGTCTATTTTTGTATCTTTAAATAAAATTAACAAATTCTCTGTTTATAAAATAAATTCTATTAAATAAATAAGAATAATAATAAATAAGATCAAATTTAATGTTTTATTCTTATATAAACTATATGATTTTATAAAGAATATTCTTAAAATAAGTATATAATAAATACATTTTTCATATAATACTGTATGTACATATTTTTACATACATATTGTATTACACATACCGTTAAAATATATTTAAAAAATATATCTGTGCAACAATAGGTTTTACATGTTTCGATCAAGGTTCATCATATTATCACGTCGCTCAATGTCCTTAAGCTCTAACATATCTGTTTTAAGATGTAATTTAATAATTTCCCTCCAAATATCCATCCTATGTTGTTCATTATCGATACCAATCCGCCTCAAACTATTTTCATTTATTCTTAACAATGTTTTTCCTGTAATGTCGTGCTTAAAAGATAGAGAAGATTTTTTTTATTTTATGCTAAACATACATTCAATAAAAAATCAATAAAAAAATCTTAATGTATAATTAACGACATAGAATAGGTCCGGTCTTACGAACTTCGATTAAGTTAATCGGTCGATTAGATTTCATTATTGTCAACTGCAAGACTGAAAATATAAGCTAATTTTCTGGCAGCTGTGAAGAAAGATGTGATAATAACAGCACAGATAATAACATCTTTATTAATGGCAATTCTCAATCGTGAAAAAATATTATACGAATCGAGCACGTACTCGGCGCTCCGCCAGAAAATAATGTTTTCA